TGGCCAGCAGGATCTTTTCCTGTTCCTCAGACGAGTCTTGTGGGAACAGACGAACTATGTGATGGGGAAGCACTTTGTGCTCATGCAGGTAGAGACGCTGGTCAATAAAAGTACGCTGTCATTGCACATTAATGCCCTGAAGAGGGGAAGGAACTTACTCTTGAATTAGGATGAGAGTGGACTGGAGCTCTTGACGGGCCTTGTCCTCACGCTGTGCAGAGCAGGCCCGGTGAGGTGGGGCCTGAACTTCTCCGAGAACCTTCATCAGAAGCCTGTTATCACTGGGAGACGGTGCCAGCCCCTCCCTGCCCTGGAGGCCATCTTGGCCAGGTCTCCAGAACCCAGCTTTGTGGAATTGGGAATGGAAAGCCTTTTTCAAGTGTTAATTTTCTGACCATATAGAATGAACAGTAAAATTAACAGAAATTTAATACCTAGTGAATTTACCACAGAAAAAAACGTCTATGTGGCTTAACCTCCAACTTGCGGTCGAGGTCACCTGCTCAGCAGGTCCTCTGCCTTTGAGACATCCATTCCCGTTGCTTCTGCTAGAGTTCTTAGGGAGAAAACCTGGCGAGCTGTGTCCACTCGTGGGGGTGGGGCTTGCCCTCTGGCTGCCGCTGTGGCCTGGGCCTGGAAATGAGCCCCACTGTCCGCAGGCGGGCAGCTTCCCAGAGAGGAGAGGAGGGCCAGTGTGCAGGCCATGCTGCCTCTGGCTGAGTAAACAACAGTAAAATTGCCAGTGGCTCCCAGCAACGCTCAGAGACAGGATTGGATTGCCTCGTGGCAGCGCTGCAATGCCAAGAGCCCACGGTTTGTGGTAGATGCCCTCTGACACAGAAAGGGCAGGGTTTTGGAAGCTGTGCTCCGTGAGTGCTGCCCTCCATTACGGTTGACACAGCGAGAAGGGGTGAATGCCGTTGGTCCGGCAGGATGCATTATTCACCTGTAGTAGACGCCTGCATTTCTACCTTCATCCGTCACGCTCACCCTTTAGGGAGGGGCCATGAATGCTCCTTCACGTCTCTGACTCCCAGTGTCTTAGAGATTCTGCATTAAGCCTCTCAGGACCAGGTCCTTCTCTTCCTCCAGATTACCTCCATCTCTCAGCTGTTCTCTTTGGCCTAAATGGGATGCTGCTTTCATGTCAATTTACTCCTGCCAACTTCCTGGAAGGATTAACTCCTTCCTGATTACATGTCATCAGGAGCGGAGGGTAAAAGATTAAAACATCACCTTCCTTTAAGCCGCAGCAGCTCTTTGTCCTGGGGAAGTCAGTCACGTTGTTTCCTTTTGAGCTGATGAGCAGATCATTTAGTAATTTGGATACTGTTTGGCGATGTGGTTTGTTTCCCTGGACCTCAGAGGACCTGTCTCACAGCTGGAGAATGCCCTGCACACGTGGCGTCTCCTCGCTCGGGCTGTCAGTCCACATGGAATGTGGCAGAAGGGGCCCACGGTCAAGCGAAATGTTACAGGTGGAAAGACCCTTGTCTCCGAGCGTCAGCTGCAGGCGCGGTCCTCAGAGCTCCCTTACCCGCTTTGCACGCCATGTGCACCTCGTGTCCCTTCTTCTCAAGGCCGTCTGCCCGTGGCGATGGGACGCTTCCTGGGCACGTTGTTCTCTCTCTCTCTCTCCCTCTCTCTCTCTCTCCCTCTCTCTCTCTCTCTTGTTACCTCGGAGAATTAACGAATTGCAGATTTAGTACAAGTCAAAGTCGTGGATTCACCGAGGCAGTTAGAATGTGAATACTCATTTAAATCGCATTTAAATTTGTTACAAATAAAATGAGGTGGCTGCAGAGCTTATATGGTCGCTCCCCTCCCTGCCCCGTGGTAGCTTATAGAAGCAAATGTTTATTCCCCGTATGGGCACACCTCGTTTTGCACTGTCAGTGCTCGAGGGAATTTTAGCGTGTCACGTTGTCTCTGAGCGAGGCGTGCCTGTGGATTAAGCTCTGAGAAGGCGGCCCATGGAATCAAAGGCTCTCAGCCCTGGAGACCTTGCCCTCCCTGGGACCACGTCGGCACCCGATGGACTGGCACGTGGGGCCCACTGGTTAACGGGCTGACCTCGGCCTCCTGCTGGCCGGCACTGTGCGAGGGCGTGGGATTCGGGAGAACAGGCCTGCGGTTGGTGCTGGGAGGGGGACTGACTCACACTTCGTGCCATCACGAGGCAGTTAACTACAGTTGTGGGCAGGGCCGCAAGGGGCTAGGGGTGCATAACCTCTCCTAGTCTGGGGGCCAGGGCTTCTGGGAGGATGTGAGCCTGTGCTGACACCTCAAGGCTAAGCCGACGTCAGCTCTCGGGAAAGGAGGGCAGAAGGGAGGACTCTGTTCTGGGCAGGGGAGCCCCCGAGAAGGCAGGGGGTGGGAAGAGCATGGCCCGTGGAGGCCCTGGAGCACGCTGCGCCGTGGGGGCACCGAAGGCAGGGGAAGGGTCGCTCAGGGGCTGCTCTGAGAACGGAGCAGCGGGCGTGGGTGAAGGCGTTCACACAGGCTCCTGTTGTTTGCATCACCCTGGCTGCTGTGTGGCTAGTGGACTCGGGCAGGCAGAGGGGAGGGAGGGTTATTTCAGTGATTCCGGTGCAGGGGTGATGGTGGCTTAGGAGTGGAGATGGAGAAAAGTGAATGGATCTGAGAGCTATTTTCAAAGTAGGATCACTTTGCATTGCAGTCAGATGCCGCGATGGGTTGTAAATGAGTAATGAGCCGCTTGCCTCAGGTCGCACAGCTGGTGCGTGGTGACAGCGCTTACTGAGAGGGGTCCGTTCTTTTATCATTCTAGACCCACGAAGTTCTGGATCAAATTTAAATTGTTCTTCCTCTTCAATGGTAAGCCTTTAAAATATGGGCTCTGCTTTTTCCATCAGCCAGCGGAATCTCGGATTTGAGTCTGTCCTTTTAAAGTAAATGACAAGGCATCTCTTCTAGAGGCCCCACTTCCAAAATCCATCATAGATCCTGGGAGTTAATGTTCCCGGTGAGACAGTGAAACTGGTGCCCGAGCGAACAACCCAGAACTGCTGCCGGGAAGTAAACGTAGGCATCTCCACTCAAAGCTCAGGAGGCAGACCCAGGTCTTCTTTCGTCTGACCCGCTGCTTTGTGAGGGAAGGAGCGAGGTCAGAGGGGCCCCTGCCCACAGCTTGCATGCAGCTCTCCCCAGCCACTCACCGACCTCGCCCAGGTCAGAGCTGGCTCCTTGGTTGAGGTCAGCGTCCTCCTCCGAGGCTGCGTGCTGACCAGACAGTATCAGGACCTCAGGAACCGTGGGCTCCATTTAGAAACCAGAATCTGGCCCCGCAGCCCTGCACAAGGAGCCTGTGGTTACACAGAGAGAGGATTTCAAGGGCAGAAGCGTTTCTCACTCCTGCCACAAGGCTGCTTCCAGCTCTCCTGTGGAAAGCTCTGTTTGATGGGTGCTCAGCTCTGGCGTCCCTGGCAGCCAGATTTTAGGTGGAGTTAAAGGCCTGGGGAGATCTCCTCTGTGTTTCATAGAAATGATCGCTGTCACTTGTATAGCCAGTCCCTCCTGTTGGATTGGAGGTGGTCTCCAGTCTTTGCTGACTCTACACTGCACTGTGAGACCCCTCTTGCAGCCTCATCTCTCACACAGAAGCTATTCCTGCCCTTTGGCAGACTCCTAGAGATGAAATTGCTAAGTCAGAGGGGTGGTAAGTCCTCAGGCTCTGGAGGCACTTTGCCAGCTTGCCTCCCGTAATAAGGCAGAGCATGGATGCCCCCCAGGACTGCGCTGGCTCTGTCTCCCTGCTTTCTCTCGTTGTCCTTCCGGAACTGACCGGAACCTGCTTTTGTTCTTCCCCACCCTGCTCCTTTTCAGGATGTGTCAGCGTTCACTGCCCCATCTGTCGCTTTCTGTTTCCTTCTCTTGGTTTCTTAACTTGCCTTTGGAGTGGAGCCTGTGGCCTGAGGCGATGACAGGAAGCTTTTGTGTGTGAATGGAAGTGAGTGTCCTGAGTTGCAGTTGTAAACTATTCCTAGCTCCAGAGCTGGGGTGTAAATACGCCACTGGTGATTGGTGTCGCCCGACGTGGTGACAGCGCCCGGTGTGTTGTCATCTCCAGAACCGTCCCATCACGCCATCCACAAATGCGCCCCATCCCGGAAGCCTTGGGAGGGGCGGTGTCTCTGGGGAGAGCGCTTGGCATAGGTTAGGAAGACTGCGCCCCGAGGCTCTGTGCTCACCAGAGTGATTTATAAGCAGATAGTCCACATTTTGTCCTTTGCATTTTTCAGTGCTGTGCAAGGCATCTTGAATTACTCTGGCGGCTTTTCCAGAAAGACCAATGGACTTCACCACATTTCTCGAGTTACAGTAAAGGCGGAGAATCTGAGGCCTGAGTGAGCGGCTGATGATTGATGACTGAAGCCATGATGGAGCAGGGGCAGGGCTTGGGGACAGACTCCAGCTCCTGCAGCCAGCACATGGCCCTTTCCCAAGAAGGACGTGGGGCTCCTTGCAGCTCTGTGAAATCCAGGGGGCTTCCCTGTGGGATTCTCCCCACCTCTTGCTCCTGCTCCTCACTTCAGCCAGCTCTAGATGCCCTTTCTAGGGAGAGTTCACCCCTCTCCCAGGCGCCAGGTTTCCTGTGAGGGGGCAGTCGGCGCCCACCCTGTGGGAGAAACCTCCCTAGAGTGATTTTGGGAGAGTCTGGTGAAGTCAGGCGGCGGGCAGAGAGTCTGGTGAAGTCAGGCGGCGGGCAGAGAGTCTGGTGAAGTCAGGCGGCGGGCAGAGAGTCTGGTGAAGTCAGGCGGCGGGCAGAGAGTCTGGTGAAGTCAGGCGGCGGGCGGAGAGGCTGGGATCGGAATCGGGAGCCCTGGATCTAATGGACCCTCTGTGTCCAGAGCCGGCCTCACACTGCCAACAACCCCACAGAGCCACCGACAGCAGGCAGCAGGCAGCACCCCCTTCCAGCCTGCCACCCCGTGACCCTCTTTGTCAGGGCCAGCAACCAGGGTCTGTGTGTCCCACAGGTCATCTGAGTGTCAGCATGGCAGCCACGAACCTGGAGAACCAGCTGCACAGTGCGCAGAAGAACCTCTTGTTCCTGCAGCGGGAGCACGCCAGCACGCTCAAGGGGCTGCACGCGGAGATCAGGCGGCTGCAGCAGCACTGCACAGGTACCAGGGCGCGAGCTCCGGGCCGGCTCCCGGCCTGCGGCCAGAGCAAAGCAGAACCCGTTGTCAGGACGGTTTTGCATGGGGGCCAGGCTCCTGCGCAGGGAGAAGGGGTGACCCTTCTCCCTGATGTGGTTAACCCCGTCATCGCAGAGTCCGTTCGGGTGCCTTACCTCATTTTCTTTGCCTAATCAAATTGCACCAAGCATGAAGCTGGAAAACCATTTCTTGGCCCACTGAGGACTTAAAAGATCAGAATGCCGTGGTTAAAATTTAAAATGCGTTTTGGAACCGATGACCAAAGTGTAATATATAGATCAAGCTGCTAACTGTGGATGGTAGGGATGTGTTTTAGGCAAAGGGAAGGTCCCTCCCCTCTGAGCCCTAGCAAGTACGGGCAGCTGATGTCTTCTGCATTCTCACCCTTGCCCCCAGTGCTGCCGAGCCCTGCTCTGTCTGGGCAGGACTCACGGGCTGACCATGGGAATCAGTGCTGCATTTTCAGAGCCGATGGAGGTTTTGGAATATACTGTAACCACATAAAATTAATGTATATGATTTCCTTTCTAGATTTAACGTATGAGCTGACACTCAAAAGTTCGGAACAGACAGGTAAGAACCCCTGCCCCGGAAGTTAATGATGGTATTGTTTCCTCCATTGCACGTGTTGATGCCATTTGTTTTCACCCGTTACACACTTAAAAGACAACACAGTCACTATGAGCGGTTGCACAGGGACCAGAGCTCTCTGAGAAAAGATGGCAGGAAGTTGGATGCCTGGGTGTTAGGAGGGGCTGTCAGCTGGTGGGTGGGGGAGGAATGAGTGGTTTTATTGTCTTTTGATTGACACATATATTTGGAATATCTATTATATGTTTTTCTGGATATTCTGATTTTTCTACAGTGACTGTGTGTTCCCTCTGTAATCAAGAAATAGATGTGATTTAAACTAGAGAGATGGAGGAGAATGAGCAGGGCCCCGCCTCCTCTGTGTCCCTCGGACCTGGCACAGAGCAGGTGCCCTCTAAATATTGGCTGAGTGAGTGATCAACTACTAGATAGCCCCCAAAGGATCGGTGAGCATCTTTCTCTACACTGCAGGCCCAGAAATGCTTCCCCCGACCGGAATCCTCAGGGACCTCAGGGAACCCCAGAGGACATCAGCCTGATGGCAGCAGGGCAGAGGAGGTAGAAACTGTGGCCTCTGTGGCCTGTTACAAACAGCCTGCTCCCCAGGCCAGGGTGTGGATTTGGAGAGTGCAGAATCCACGTTTGAGTCAAGAAAGCTTTTTCTAAATAGCTTCGCAATGACAGTTATTATGGATGAGTGTGTCCGATTCCTTGTGAAAGACATGGGCCATTTCTGTTGAGTCTCAGTGGCCACACACCTCCCTCAGGAGGAGGCTGAGGTCCCTGCAGCCTGGGTTTGGGCTGAAGGCAAGGCCCCTGTGTCAGCCCTGGGCTGCTGCCCCGCAGGCCGTGGTGGGAAGATGAGTGGGCACCAAGTCTGAGTGCCATGCCAAAGCCAGCCCTTCGGGTGGCAGGGCTCAGCCCACGTGGCCTCAGAGCCATGTGCTTCCATGTCTCTGTCACTCTCATTACCTCTGAAACTGCGTTTCAGAATCCATTGTTTTTCTTTCTGGCCAAAAAGACAAATCTCCTGGAAGATAGTATTGCTGCATCCTTTCTAAGGAGGTCATTTACTGACATGTCTCTCTCTCTCACACACACACACACACACGCACGCACACACACACGCACACGCACACACACACACACGTGGACAGTTTTTTTTTTAAAGATTGGTCCTGAGCTAACATCTGTTGCCAAACTTTTCCTCTCCTTCTTCTCCTTCTCCCCAAAGCCCCCAGTACATATTTGTATAGTCTAGTTGTGGGTCCCTCTAGTTGTGCTGTGTGGGACGCTGCCTCAGCGTGGCCTGATGAGCGGTGCCATGTCCGCGTCCAGGACCCGAACCAGCGAAACCCTGGGCCGTCGAAGTGGAGCGCGCGAACTTAACCCCTCGGCCACGGGGCCAGCCCCAGACACATATTTTTTAAGAATACACTAATTCACTGCAGTAAGTTTGTGATGTACAGATTGCTGTGCACAAAACAGTTCCACGGCCCATGGAGCCTTGCGTGCTCAGAGTCTGGCTGACAGAACACGGCACAGAAGCCGTGGCTGAGGCAGATGGGGAACAGCCAGACAGACGAGGCCCTGGGAAGGGAGCGGAAGGCCAGGGCAGGGGTCAGTGCACACCCATCGCTGGGGCTGGGCCTGGGGGAGTGGTTATACCAGGAGCTTAGACACACAGGTCTGGAGGTGGGTCGGGGATGGAGGTAGAGACAGACCGAGAGAGAGGGGCTTGGGGGCAAGGTGGAAGCTTAGTGGAAGCAGAAGACACTGGGGACAGGTGAGGAACTGGAAAGCACTCTGCAGCGTGGAGCTCATTCGGCAGTGAGAAGCCGCTGTTGAACGGGGGCTGGACTGTTGAGAGGGGTGACCGGCCTGCTAAGCACAGGATGGGCTGAAAGCAGACAGGAAGACCCGAAAGGAGGCTGGACCAAGGCCAGGAGGCAGGAGCCGGAGACAGAGGGGAGACAGGGAGACTGACCAGCTGACAGGGAGGCCTCAGGGGCGTGTGCATCGAGGGGGAGGGCCAGAGCAGTCCCAGGGGAAACAGATGCCGGAGGAGAGCAGATGCTTGGCCTTGAGGGGCAGGTCTGATGGGCACCACCTGTAGGATTAGCACTCAGAAGTCTGACTTAGGAGCTGACCCTCAGGTGAGTTCCCAATCAGCAAGGAAGAGCCTAGAAAGAAGTGGACAGAGCCCCAACTTTCTAGGAGCCAGGCGAGGAGGAGGGCCAGCCAGGCATGTGAGGAGGAGCAGGGCGGTGGTGCTGGGCGTGGAGCCAGGGTGCCAACGTGGGCGTGATGTAATTGCAGCCAGCAAGCGGGAGGCCAAGGTGGCCGGAGGTGGGCCCCAGGTCCCTAGAGGACGGGGAGGGGAGGCAGCACTGACATCTGCTGAAGGGCTGGCTCTGAGAGGCACGCAGGAGTGGCCACATGGTGTTCAGGCAGGGCGGGCAGAGGCAAGGGCCGAGCACAGACAAGGACACCTCTCTAAGAGACGAGAGAGGGGACCAGTGTCGTTGGGGTAAGGCAGCAGCCAGACATGCTGTCTCCTCTGCAACTTGAGAGTCTTGGCATGTTAGACCTGGGGAGGCTTTACATTTGTCTTTCCAAATGTGCTTTGAATGGAGCAGCCATTTAATACACATCACCTGAGCAGGCGGAGGCACCTGCCCACTCTAATCCTAAGTATTTGGTGAGGTCTCACACTCTGGAAATGCCTGTTTTCACTTCAGCATTCTTAAAATTTGGAGACATTCTTTTATGCAGTGAGCCAGAGAACTAAGAGCTGGAAGGGGCCTCAGAGACCACCTGGTCTCCCACCCTCAGGTGAGGGGAGAGGACTTAGGGGTGGGGGCCGTGGCTTAGGTCCAAGCTGCTGCCTCCAGGGTGGGTGCAGGACACCCGGCCCACATCCCTGCCTTCCGTGTGGCCTTTGAGCACCCCTCTTCCTCACGCTCACCCCGACACGGGCCACGAGGCCAGCCTGCACGGGGCCTCCCACACACAGCTCTCCCTGCCTCGGCTCGGTGGATTCCTAACCTGGCCGCTCGGCTTCTTCTTCCAGGAGATGGATCTTCTAGAAGCAGTGAACTAAAGAAAAGATGTGAAGAACTGGAAGCTCAGCTGAAACTCAAGGAGGACGAAAACAATGAGCTGCTGAAAGAACTGGAGCAGAAGAACGCGATGATCGCGGTGCTGGAGAACACCATCAAGGAGAGGGAGAAGAAGTACCTGGAGGAGCTCAAGGTGAAGAGCCACAAGCTGAGCATGCTGTCCAGCGAGCTGGAGCAGCGCGCCGGCACCATCGCCTACCTGACGGCCCAGCTGCACGCCGCCAAGCGGAAGCTGCTGAGCTCCAGCGGCACCTCCGACGGCAGCCCGTCCGGGAGCCCCGTGCTGGCCAGCTACAGGCCAGCGCCCCCCAAGGACAAGCTGCCCGAAACGCCCCGCCGCCGCATGAAAAAGAGCCTGTCCGCCCCCCTGCACCCTGAATTTGAGGAAGTCTACAGATTTGGGGCCGAGAGCCGCAAACTACTTTTGCGGGAGCCCGTGGATGCCATGCCTGACCCCACGCCGTTCCTGCTGGCCAGGGAGTCAGCCGAGGTCCACCTCATCAAGGAGAGGCCCCTGGTCATACCCCCCATCGCTTCTGAACGCAGCTCGGGCGAGCAGCACAGCCCGGCCCGCGAGAAGCAGCACAAGGCCCACGTGGGCGTGGCACACCGCATCCACCACGGCGCCCCGCCGCAGGCCCAGCCCGAGGTGGAGACGCTGGCGGTGGACCAGGTGAACGGAGGCAACGTCGTGAGGAAGCACTCAGGGACGGACAGAACTGTGTGAAGCCTGGCAGGCGCCCCCCGCCCTCGGCGTTGACGCACTGTGATCACTCCTAGGAAACACTCGTCCGCACCTTTCTTTTTTTTTTTTTCCCATGCATGCCAAATTTTTTTTTGACCTGTCAACAGATGATTCTCCTCCTGCTCCTCTTGCCCTCTTACTGACACCAAAATATGATTGTGTCCCTGCTGCAGAATATGCACCTACTAATCGCTGTGGCCGACACCCGTGTGCGGCGTCGCTTGCTTTCGGTCCCCGTCCGTGCATCTCAGTGCGCTCGTGGGCAGAGCGCAGGCCGCAGGCTGCACTACCCTCGACGTTAGCGAAGCCAGATAGTCACACGCCTAATTAGAAAGTCGGAGCAACACATAGCGACCTTGACCTGTCCCTCCAGGTTCAGGGCAGCCTGTCCGGAGCAGCCCCCGCTGCCTCCTGGAGACCCTGTCACCTCCTGACACACCTCCCCCAGGGCGGCACCGATAACCGAGCAGCTGTATGTCACGGGAACTAAATAAGATGACGTTACTCCTCGTATCACCACAACCTGAATGTGTGTTCATATTTTTTGTTAGTTTTATCCAAAATGTTCAAGATCCCAACAAACTTTATTTTCTAAACCTGCCTTCTTTCTGTTCTGTGTCTTTTATTAACCACCTGGAGGGAGGGTCGGGGAGACCGCGGGAGGGAGAGAAGGAGCAGGCCCCCGGGAACACCTGCGTTCTTGCTCTCCCTGTTCTCCCCGGGGTGCGGCCCTGGCGTGGCGGCCTCCCTGCCGGAAGGAGGAGGCCCTGTAATCTCTCACTTTCCAGAGCTATCCCTTAGAATGGTCTGCGCTTCTGACGTTGGGCAGATGCTCCTCGCCTCCAGCCACACCGGCCAGGGCTCCAGGCTAGCCCCGTGGTGCACCGAAGGAAGGGACACCCAGGAGCCGCCGATCCTGGAGGTTCTAAGTCTGCGCCCGGCACCACACAGACCCAGGCAGGTTGGGGCAGGAGCTCGTGTGGCGTTAAACAGCGAGTTCACAGCTGCCCACACGCCCAGAGCTCCACACGGACGGACGGATGGGACCGGGAGGAGTGGCCGTGGTGACTGTGGTGTCATCAGCCCAGGGAGGGGCCCGCCTGACCCCGCCCGTGGCCTCGGCCCTCCCCCCACACCTCAGCGGACAGCTCTTGCCAGAGAGGCACCTGTGGAACAGACCCGGACTGTCAGACACAGGCCCTTGAAAACCTGCATTCTCGCTGGTGCCAATGACACGCCAGGCACTTCTGCCTGATCAAGTGTTTCCTCTGAGAAGGAACAGAAAACACATCTTAAAATGCTCTCTAGTATTAGTTTTCGCATACACAGAATCTTTAAAAAACAGTTTTTAAAAAAATACCATTCAGGTTGATTTATATGGAAAGAGATGAAAATGGCTGATTCCAAACGAAAGGAGAATCAGTGTCAACCCCTGTCCCACCCCCCCAGAGGCCCCAGGAAATGCCAGTGGCCTCGATCCTTCCTCAGGAGTGCCCAGCGCGCCCTCGGCAGCCACGGGCCCCGCGGTCAGTCCGAGTTGAGGGTGAGACACACCCCCTGCAGCACCCAGTGGGAGATGTGCTTCGCCGTGAAGAGATCGGCTTCGAAGACCAGGCCCACGCCCATGGCGTTCCTTCTCGTGGAGGTGGTGTAGACGGGCGTCCGGAAGGTGTTCTGCAAAGGAAGGGCATGTGAGAGGAGAGGTGAGAGGGCTCACTCCCGGAGAGGGGAGCTTAACCTCGGCGCTGGGGTGCGGGCCTCACGAGCGGCGGGGCGGGCAACCCCCGCTCACTTAGTGTAGACGAGGCTTCCCCCAGATACGCTCATTACAAGTGGATCCGGCCAGGCAGAGCCGCCCACACCAGACGCAACGACTCTGTGATTCAAGCGATGCCCAGCAGATTGCACAAGGAGGAGGCTCTCCCGAAGGTAGTCTGGACCCGGGCTTCTAACCTTGAATCTGTGCCTCCTGCGGAAGTCTCTGCACACACACATGTGCGCGTGCACATTTTCCTGAGCAGTGGCTCTATGGCTTTTATCATGCCTCCCAGGCTTCCCCGACCCGGGGGGGCGGGTCAAGCGCCCCTGTTTTAAAATGAAGGACTGTCTGAACCCGCCTCGTGTACAACTACAGGCAGAAGAGCAGAGGGGACACGAGGTGGACGTGGCCTGTCACCTGCAGTTTGAGGCGATGGGCTTCAATGGGGATGATCTTCAGGATCGGCAGGTTGACAACCAGCACCTTGGGCTTGCTCTTGATAAGACAGCCTCTGTCTATGTCCCAGTCAGCGCCTTCGAGATAGAGTCCTGAGACGAAGCACCCTAGAGATACCAGGAAGAGACCAGGATGTCCGCGGAGGCATCTGTAATTCCACTGTGTAACAGCTCTGTCAGATGTTCATGTGGAACAAAAGAAAGATAACTAACTGGTCCTCCTGCCCCAGACACAGCCCAGGCCTTTTCCAAAAGAGGTGGCATTATTTCTGCCCTGCCCACCTTTAGAGGAACAGCCCCCCAGAGGGATGCTCTGAAGACCCTATGACCCTCCCCCATGGCCACAGCGAAGTGGGCAAGGTATGGTCACCTCTCCCCAGCAATTTGGTACCAAGATACACAGACTTAGACGGCCGTGGGCCCCAGGCTATAAAGATGAAAGCTTCAGAGTCAGTTGGGCACCACAGCAACCCAAGACGTCCCGAGCCAGAGTGACTGGGGGGCAGGAAGTCGAAGCCTCACAGAGAAAGTGGTCTCTGGGGAGGAGAACACAGCAGACATGCAGAGGAGCAGAGGTGAGGACAGTCATTCGGCCCAGAGAGAGTGGTGGCCCTGACACCTGCCAGTCCCTCTGAGACCTCGCTGCCCTCTCCACCTGGGACTGTGAGCGTTCCCTGAGAATTTGCCCCGTGCATCCCCTCTCCTTCAGCTGGCTCGAGAGGCCTTTTGTTGCTTGCAGTTCAACGTCCTCCGACTATGACAACAGGGCCCAGAAACAGCAGTTTCTAGCTACAGTTTACAGTCAGTACCCAGTGTCTACAGGACAGGCTATAGCATAATTTAATGATTTCTGCCTACTCCATCCTGCTTTCTGGCTCCCATGCCCCTGGCCCCTCAAGGTTCCCAGGGAAGCGACCTGGAGATCCAGTTCTTTGAAAGATGTAGGAGCCCATTTCCCACAAATGAGCAGGATGAACATGGCTCAGTTCTCGAAATCCCTGACATCAACCCAGGTCTCAAAGAAACCAGAAGAGAAACATATGTATTCACCCTCAGAGACATCAAGACATGGATGGTGCACAGACACAGCCAGTATCTGCACGAGTCTGACTTTCAATCATGGCTTGGCCCATTTGGGCCCATACTATGCTTGTCGCTTTGACTCAGGGCTGGCTCTGGGAGGGAGACCCTAAATGAGAGGCTATCAATCCGTAATGAGCCGAGTACCTTGTCCTGCCCGTTCATTCACTTCCTCTGCATCTTGGAACTTGGTCACTTGTGTGAACAAGGTGGAGCGGTCCAGGGGCCAGCCATTCCTCCGGCAGGTGGCCTGCACCAGGGCCGTGAGGTAGGATTCTGGGATGTGCAGCCCTGAGAGCCACATCACGCTGGGTTCACCCTCTGCGACCTGGAGAGAAGGGAGAGCAGCTGGTGGGAACCGAGGGCTGCCGTCAAATGCCAGGGTCAAAGCCAACTGGAAGTCAAGTTCGTGATAAAAGACATAGTTCACCTTAGTGGCAAAAAGATGGTGCTGGGACAACTGGTAGCCCTTTGGAAGGACCACTAAATTCCAGATGGAGCAAAGATTTAGATACAAAAAATGAAACCACGAAAGTACCCCATCAAATCTCCAGTGACTGTTGTCATAACCTTGGAGTGGGGAGTACAAAACCCACAAGCTGTAAAAGAAGACTGATACATTTGACTATTACATAGAAATGTAAAACTTCCCTATGGAAAAAATACCGTAAACAAAGTCAAAAGACAGAACAAGCTGGGAAAGTGTTTGCAACACTGGCAGACAAAAGGCTAATTTCCTTGATATACAAAGAGCTCTTAAAAATCAATTTAAAAAGGCGGAAAACTCAATAAAAATGAAATCAAGATACAAAAAGACAATTCACAGAGAAAGAAATGAGAAATGTCTATAAGTATGTAAAATACACTCAGCCTCACCATCATTAAAGAAATGCACATCCAAACAGATATTATTGCTTACATATCAGGGAGAAAATACCCAAAATATTAAGAACACACAGTGTTTCAGAGAGGTGAAGAAATAATCATTCGTATACACTGTGGGTTCAACTTGTCTAGAAAAACATCTGACAAGAACTGCCAGAATTTAAAATGCACATACTCTGATCCAACTCAGCCACTGTAGGAATTTACCCGTGGAATATACTCATGTGAGCATCCAAAGACATGGGCACCAGATTGTTGTTTGTACTGGGGGAAAAAAAGAAAGAACAAGAAAAAAACCAATGGTAACCACCTACATGTCCCTCAGGGGACAGGAGATGGAATAAATGGGGTACCCTAAAAAGATGTAATTAGATGGAGCAATTGCCAAGATAGACTCTTAGACGAATAAGGCAAGTTGTGCATAAATATGCTTCAAAATCTTAAAAACAAAAAAGAAAAGGAAGAAAGACACAGGTATGCTTGCAGAGTCAGAGACCATTTCTGGCCTCGGAGCACACAACCGACTGCTAACAGAGGTACCACTGGGGGTGGGAGAAGGGGGCGGGAGGTGGTCAGAGGGGGTCCAGGCTCAACCTTGAACCAACGAACAGACCGCTGTCTCTTACTTACCCACAACGTGTACTGGCTGAACCGCCGCAGGAAGTAGACCATCCAGTTTCCAAGGGACTTTAAGGTGTCAGGGGCAAGCTTTCTCCAGATGCTAGGGATTTGCCCAATAAAAAGAGACCTCGCTACATCATCTAACTCATTGCTCATTCCAACTTCTCCAGCCAAGGCCTGTTTAGAATCAAGAGCAATCAGTCAAGACTAACAGAAAGCCAGGCACGACGTAGGTGGTAACCTGCTCATTAGGAACATGCTCACCCTCTGAAGTTCAGCCAGAGACTTGGACATCCGTAGGACAAGCTTGTTGAAGCGCTCCAGCTCCTGGAGGAGCACCACCGAAGTGGGGGAGATTCCTATCCCAAGGTGCTTCCTGACCAGGTCCAGGTCAAAGACTTTGGGCATCTTGTTTTCTATGTCCTTGGCCACTTGGCCAATGTAATCATCTCGACTGATGCCGCTGCTGGATTCCCCTACAACCAGGACACTCTTTGAGGAAAGCAAGCAGGACCGGGGCCTCCTGAGCCTTCTGGCTCCTGGGAAGGCGCCAGCCGCATGGAAACCCTAGGAACTGACAGCAGCACTTTGTGCCGGCACCCTTCCACCCTCACCGCCATAATCCGGTCCTCGCAGTAGATGCTACCTGTCTGAGGCTGCAGCTCCAGCAGGTGAGCCCACATGGCTCGAGCCGCCTGAGTGTAATAGCCAATCTCAGCGTTGGAATGAAGACCGAACACTTCCGGCGTGTTGGCTAGTGGGAGGGCCTCGATGGCTTCTGTAATCAAAGGGAATAAGCAG